GTGGCATGGCCTGGGACCCCGCTGGCCGGCCCCGGCCGGTCGTGTTCCGGCTGCTGCGCTTCGCCGACAAGGCGGCCATCCTGCAGGCGGCCCACGGGCGGCCCCTCAGCTACGCGGGCGTCCAGGTCACCATCCTGCCGGACTTCTGCTCCTCGCTCTCCCGACGCCGGCAGGTCCCCTTTGGGGCGGCCAGGAGGAGTCGGTGGCTGGCGGACCCCTGCTTCAGCCCTCGGCACGCCTCCTTCTACCCCCCTTGGCCCCAAGGGCGACGGGGGCCTCTGGCCGCCTCTGGCCCCTTGGCCGGCGAGAGGGAGGTCAGGGCCCCCAAAGGGCCAGGGGCGGGAAACTGGGGGGGCGATCTGTTAGCAGGCTCAGGGCATCACAGGGGCTGCCATACTCCGGGAGGCTGCGAACCACACAACCCATGATTCTCTTTTGGCAACGCAGCACCTGCAGAAGAAGACCTAGCTCTTCGCCCCGAATGGCCTCTCTTCTGGCTGAGCCACTTCATATACGGAGGGTCGCCCAGCTTTTCCCCTACCTCACACCCTCCAGAGGGGTTGGCTGCCTTTTTTGGGAGGCAACCACCCCACTGTGGGATTTCCTCGCCCTTCCTCCTGTGGCCTGGGCACCACCCGCTTTGGGGAAGAGGAGGAACTGGAGGCTAGACGTATGCTTTCAGAATGTTTTGTTTTTATATTCTTAAGGTATATTTTAAAGAAAACAATATTTTGTATCGGTATTTTGTTTCTATGTCTTGTTATTTGCTTACCCCAAGTCTTTCGTCTGGGCTGTAATAAATGTAAATAATAAAGAACTGGGGAAACAGTGTCTGGTGCCTCTTGTCCAGAGGAACTCTTCCAAAAGGCGAATTTTCCTGGCCCTTTCTCTCCCCTTCTGCTCCCCTGCCAAGAGGGTCCAGCTGTGGAGGAAGGCCAGCGGGCGCTCCTGGTCCTGACTATGGAGAGAGGGTGCGGGCATCGCGAAAACACCCAGGCTGCCTGCCATGCAGCCGACGGCCCAAGCGGGGCTTTCTGATTGAGGGGTGCTGAGTGCACGCCAGGCCTCGGCGTGTCCGGAGAATACGCCCAGGAACATTTGGTTTGCTTCTGAACCTGTCCAGCGCCTCCAGGGCGTGAACTCTTCAGGTACCATCCCTATTCTTCTGCAGAGTGAGGCAAGTGGGATGGGTTACATGGAAGGATGACACGTTCTCGTTTGAACGCTGGTGTTTTCAAGCTCAAGCAAAGAGGCTTGCGGGAGACGCCAATCTGCTGGCCTGAGATAGGTTGCCTATTTGTAGACCTTTTGCTGCACACCTGGGGGGAAAAGGGAGAGAATTCACTGCTCCACCCCCAGGCAGCAGAACGTCGAGGGCTGCCCTTTCTTCTACTGTGATGCCCTCGGAAACTGGGGGTGGTGGGTTACGACTAAAGCTGCTCGCTTCCAGAGCGGCAGCAGCCCCCTGCTGCCTCAGTCTTAGGGGGTGCTAAGCCCAGCGAGGGTCCTTGTAACCCATGAGCCCAGCCTTCCACCAGAAAACCTTCATTAGGGTGGTTGGTTGCTATTTTCCTCTTCCTGGGAGCCTGCTGTGGCCTTTATTAGCCCTGCGATGGGCCAAGCCATCCCCTGGCCTCATGGTTCACCTGCCTTAGAAGGGCAGGCACCTTGCCAAGGAGACAGACGCTCCACACCAACTCTATCCTGGGGTGCCCAGTCCCCTCCAGTGAAACTAAGGCGGCTCTCCACTCTTCTCTCCACCTCAGGTGCATTGAAGGAAGAGGGGCTGGCGGAGCCTCCCCCGCACCTGCCAGTTCCCCCACCCCACCCCACCAGCAGCCTTCTTGGCATGGGCACCTGATTGCTCAGGCACCACTTGCATGCCTTCCTTGGACTCCTGCAAAGCAGAAGAGCGTTCAGGAGAGCTTGGCCAGATCACATCCCAGGCCTCTTAGGTCAACTGTTCTGATCCAACTGCAGCTCTCCAGATGCCCCCGGGACGCGCCCCCTGTTTGAAATGTGGTGGGCCATGACCACGTGCATCACCACCACTGACCCCTCCACCTCTTCCTAAGGGGCACCAGGACTGTGAAGTGTGTGTGGGGGAGGAGATGATGGCACTCCGCTTCCTGCCTCAGGTGTACGACCATGCCTGCTCTTCCTTGTCCTGTTTGCACGTTTAGGGCCTCTGCTTTTAGTCACAAATCCTGGGACCTTCTTTTCATTTAAAGCTATCGTCATCTGAGCCAGAGGGGACCCAAAGGGCAGCTCCTCCTTTGAAAAGAAAGGGGACGCCTGACCCCCATCCGCAAGTCGCACAGGATTCACGCAGGTTCATTCCCAGGTACACCCGTTTCCACAGTGGGACCTGATCCAGGAGCCGGGAGGAAGGCAGCCTGCGTTCCAGCTGATACATCCAAGAAAGTGACACAAAAACAGGCAAAGCTGGGAGTGGTTTTTACTAAGACGTGAGAGCAGAAATAGAAGAAAACATTGGGAAATACACTGAATGAAGAACAGAGGGGGACAGGAAATGAATGTAATCGTCTGACTAAAAAGTTATTTCCATTACATATACGATACATATTGGTTCTTTCAAAGTGGGTGTATGATAGATAACGGCTCCCTCTAGTCAGCTGTGGCACAATAAGGCCTGATTTACAGTACTGGATCAAACAAATTTATAATGACAGATGTAATTCTGAAAGCAGAGGAAGAATTAAAAGGAAAAGCACCTAAATTTAAGCTTGTTTCCTGCTAGGCGAGGGGCATCTTGAAACAGAATTTTAAGATTGGGTTGTGGGGGGATGCAGTGGCTGAAATCCTGCTGCCTGGCGTATTGGAAGTGGCCTCTAGAGCAGGGCCACTGAATCAGTGGAGATCTGGTGCATCCACTCCTCCGTAAGTTTCCATGCATTCAGATGGTTACTTATTTGTTTTTCTATCACTGCAACTTACTTGTTGCAAGTAGAGTAGCCCAATTTGAGTCAATGGGGCTTACTGAGAAGTGGACTCCCTTCCAAATCTCCATGGATTCTGTGTGTGACTTGCCACGCTAAGCAAGAGGATTTCAGCCAGAGTCTTGCCCAGTTGGTAACGCATCAAGATCTTTCCACAGCTGAAAAAAGTACCCCAGCAAAATCTCCCCACCACCACCTGCTAGGAAAAAAAAGGGACCATGCTTTGGCTGTAGGTTTGGGGATTGGGGCCTGGGGTCTGTGAGTTGCACAAGGCCTTCCTCCTTCCTTCCCCTTGACTGAGCTACTGCTTTCGGGTGAAGGTGTTTGGCAAAACTCTTTCCTTAAGGTTCCTCAGCAATAAGGCACGCTCCTTGAAACCCAGTTGGCGTTCCTTCTCTTCTGAACGGATCAGCAGGTCAATGCATTCGGAAAAGGTAATGGGGCTGCTTTTTAAGGCAGATTTTGGCAGCTTCTGAAGGTGACTTGTTAACATCTCAATAAGTCTGACCAACTCCTTTTCTGCTTGGTCAGCTTCCATCAAAACACTTGAACATACATCATTTTCTGTCATTTTCTGTCTAGATGTGCCCTGGTATCTCCTCTTCAGGCCTGCAAAGCTCCGTTTTTCTTTGACTATTTGATAATCCCACACAAAGTCTCCACTGAAGTGGTTTTGCCAGATGCACTGGCCAGGACACACCATGCAGTGTGGTGTGTTCATCGCAAGACGTTCCACATTTCCACGGTTATTCTGAACTCCACAGACGTACTGACAGGTGTAGCTACAGTTCTGGCAGTTGACTGCTCTGTTCCTGGGGTCACAAGTCAGTCTTTTCACATGCAGCACGCTTTCCACCTCATACTCAAAATCTTTGTGGGCCTCCATGTCTCTCCAGTGCTCTTCCAGAACCCTGCATGTCTCTCTCAGCCGCCTCAGAGTCACCAGTGCCATCTGGACTCTGTGCCTCACACCCTGCAGGGTTGGCTCATCAAGAATGTCTGCTAACGAGGTTAACCTCCGAGGCTGTAAGTTACTGAGGGACTGGAAAAATGTCTTCATGCTCTTCAGCCCCATCTCCCAAAACATGCGGTTGAAATGGTAACTGTCTTCGTCGTTGCTGTCGAGCACGTTGCTGGCGAAGAGAGCGGAGTTATTGAAGGGAAAGAAAGCCGGGGTGCCGGCAGCATCCGTGCCACAGGTGACCTCTCCTGCCTTCAGGGCCTCAACCACAGGGGGGGTCTGCCCATCGGCAAAGGTGACCAGGATCTGGATGTTGTCTCCGATGTCCCGTCCAAAAACTGAGAACACTTGGTCAAAAATGTACTTCTGGAGTTGAGTCAGGCGTGGTTGGGAGGCCTGGACCACGATGCAAACGGCATCGATGTGACGGAGGCCACCTGGGCTGTTGAAAAACTCCCGAATCTTCTCCAGGAGCACCTGGTCCCGCTGCCTGCCCCTCGTGTCCCCAAATCCTGGCGTGTCAATGAGGGTCAGGGAGCAAGGGAATGGCCACCCCCGGTTCAGGTGGACTTCATAGGCGGTCAAGGTGTCCGTGCGGCTCTCGGCCTGGCTCTGTCCGGGGTCTTCTTGCACCAAGCTGAATCGGAACTCATCCTCCCACTGCACACCCAGCAGATAGTTCATCATCCCATCTACCATCATACTTTTCCCTGCTCCGGTCTCCCCCAGCAGCACGACGACTCTGTGAGGAACCTGGGGGTCCTCCTGTTTCCCAAACCTGTACTTTCTCCAAGGGGCCTTCGCGGGAAAGGCTACCTTCTCCAGCGGGAGGGCGTACACGGAAGGCGTCCCTTCCCTTAAGATTCGGCTGGCTTGGCAGAGAGAGCAGGCAACGTCCTTTGGCATGCCTTTGGGGTCTGGGTGGTGGGCAGTCCCTCGTTCTGTCAAAGGGGCAGAAGGGAAGGCCAGGGGGGCTCCACTCTTCTCCTTTCCTCCCACAGCCCTGGGCTGGGCTGGATCCCTCTCTCCTCCCTCCGCAGCGTTTCTCTCCTCTGCCCCAGAGCCTTGACTCCCCACAAGCAGCCCCGGGGATCCCGCAGGGGTGCTTTTGGAGGCCCTGAGCGAGGCTGCAGGAAGAGTCTTGACGGGGTCCGTGACGTCGCTGCTCTCACTACAGCCAGGTTTGCTCACGGCGGCGTAGCGGAATTCGTACTCTGTGTCTGGCCATAAGCCACGAACGGTGGAAGTGTCTTCCTTCTTTTGGAGGATAGAAGGTAGCCACGTGTCTTCCCCCACCAGCCTGTGTTCAATCTGGTAGCCGGAGATGGCCTCTTTTCCAAAGGAGGCTGGCGTGACTCTCAGCTGGACACTGTCATGGGAGACCTTCTCCACCTTTAGTGGGAGAGGTTTGGATGGAGGCTCAAAGCTGGTTCCTTTCAGGTCCCCTCCTTCGTACAGGTAAATGGCTGCCCCTGGACGGCTTTTGTCTGGGACAGAGTCGACCAGGAACTCCGTCTCCCGACTGGCCTGGTTGGCCCTGGCAAACGCCAAGAAGGACCGGGCCATCTCTCTGACTCTTCGGACGATGGCCTCATCTTCATGCCACTCCCCGGAGCCCTGAGTCTTGTCTTTGAATTCAGACGGGGGTCTCCTGGAAGGGAGATGGCGTTTCTGCTCAGGGAAATACGGATCTTCCTCATGCAGCGAGGTGAACATGAACGCGACCACGAAGCCAGCCGCCGGAGAACGGCTTGTCTCTGGCGGGGCCTTTAGGCCAACGGCCTTGGACTCTTTCAAGCTCGAGAGGACAGAGTTCAAGAGGCCGACCTCCTTCTTTCTTTTGTCAAAAGACCGACGCAGCTGGAGGGCAGACTCTTGGGCCTGCACTAAGACCTTCTCCAGATCTTTTTCCTCTTTCTCTCCTGTACGGACGGAAGGCACCATTTTGGCCAGTTGCTCCCGGAAGCCCTGCCTGGATTGATGACACTGCTCTCGGAACGTCTGGATTTTCTTCCCAATCTCAGGGAACCTCCTCCCGGCAGGCGCGCTCGAGAGAGCCTGGCCTTCTGCCTCCAGCTCCACCAGGCCCGCCATGGCCTCTTTAATGCCAGAATGCAGGGCATCGCTTAGCTCCTGGAAGGACTGTGCACAGCAGGGCATCAGAGACTCCGGGAGTTGCAGGTTGTTCAGAGGATACAGGTGGATTTTGATCGGGACCCCCTTCTCTTCAGCCTTACCCAGAAGCCTGGAAAGGTTGGGATGTCCGTTCATGGGATCTGGAAGGGTACCTGGGTTGCTCAGAATGTGTTTTTCGTCTTCTTTGTCATCCGTTTTGAGAGATGTTTGGCCTTCTGAGAGAAACGCCACCTTCTTCTTCTCTTCGGGTGCTGCTTTCTCTTCCATTTGATCCGAAGGTGTAGCATCGTTCTCATAATCCCAAACGGCCCGGGTGCCATACCACACACCAGTGACCACGTGGGTGGCCTGAAATTCCCCTATGTTTTGATGAGAGACGACCTCAGGCCTTAAAGAGTTCAGATTCAGCTTCTCGAGCCTTTCTAGAGACGAAGACATGTAGGTGATGCGGCCGTCTGGGCGTCTGGACCGCAGGGGGCTGAAGAGGTACTCTGCCGGTCCTTTCGCTTCGAACAAGCCACAGAGGAGGCTGGTCAGCAAGGAGGGCTTGATGCCCAGAGCAGCCGCCTTCTCATCCAAGGTCTCGCAAGAAACCCGCATCGCTACTTCTGTGTTGTGGTTTAGCTGTTCTGCGTTCTTTTGGCAGGCCTCGGGGTCGAACAGCGTATGTTCTGTAGGAGTGAAAAAATAAGCTTCTGGTTAACGGAAAGCAGTGGCAAGTCCTTCCTCATCATTAAGAACAATCGGCTGCCCTCACGTCAATTCCAACTTATCGTGACTATTTCCGGGGTTTCCTAGGTAAAGGAGACATGGAAGGGGCTTCCCGTTTCCTTCTTCAGGGGTGGGGTGGGGGCACCACCCTGGGACGGTGCAGCTTAGCTTGCCCAAGACCACAGAAGCTGCTTCTTCTCTTAGGAGCGCAGGAATTCAACTCCCAACCTCCCAATCTAACTCACTGCCCTATCCAGACAGCTTTTTAATTGTCAATGAAAGGTGAATTGGGAGAAGGGGGGGGAAGAGGGTGCACTTTGCACGGGACCAGACAATATCCGGCCACAGTTGAGACAGACTCAAAGAGTTCGAGGAAGGTATCATTTCCTCCCAGGACTCACACATGGCTCCCCTAAGTGTGCAAGAGCTGGAACTGGTGGTGACAGTTCACTGGGAACCAAACCCTGCAGCCAGAACAAGGTGCTTTGCCAGCAAGGGGGAACCTCACGGGGGGGGGGGGGAAGCAGCACCACTGGGGTTTGCCAATGGGGTCCCTGGGATCTCCCAAGCTCTCGTTGATGGCATGTATTGTGTTCAACAAGAAGGCGAGTCTCTCTCGCACCCGTTTTGGGATGAGGAAGGCTGCAACCTCCCTGGAGCCAACCAGGAGCCCATGAGGGCAGACCGCGTCCCTCTCCCCCCGACGTGGCTTGGCCAGCTGACCGACCGCGCTTTGCTCATGAACAAGAGCTCCAAGCACGGCAGGTGGCAGTCAAGACCGGGAGCAGACTCGTCCATTCCCTAGAGGTCTCTAAAGGTCTAAAGGGCTCTTTGGAAGATGTCCAGGCCTCCGGGATCTCTCCACCTTTGCCTCCCTGGACTGGGCAGCAGGCGTATCCCCTTTTCCCTGCCAGCCTCTCGCCCCGACGACGGAGCAGGAGCATTACCTTGCAAGAGAGCATCCTTGTGGCAGTTGTAAAGCATCCCCAGCCGGAAGGGGCGCCCCAGGGCAGGCATCTCGACCCCGTCCGCCAGCCCAGCCATGGTTCAGAGACGGCCCAGAAATGTCACTCTTTTAGCTCTCTTCCGACTGGTGGAAAGTGTCGCTGACGCCGATGAAACTCAGACCTTTGGAACTTCAGGGACTCACAGGCACCCCTCGACGCCTTCCTCTTCTTTGATGACAGACGAGCGTGAAAATAAGCAGTAGTGAGTTTATGTGACGATACTAAAGCGCAGCGAGAACAAAAAGCAAGCAACCTGGGACTCCTGCTTTCACATTGGCAGAAAGCAGAACGAACTGAACTCAGAAAAACAAGTCTTTTTGCCTGGCAAAGCAGAATGATTGCCCCTCTTTTAAAAGACGTAGACTGCCTCTAAATATGGAGGTTCCATAGAGCCACTATAACCAGTAGCCATGGATTAAAAAAAGAGAGAGAGAGAGCAAGATCTGTGAACCACTTCTAAATCCCAGCCTGACATTCTCGAAAACAGTCCTTGACTTTTCAGGGTAGGAATCAGGATTTAAAATGTTCCCTTCTGTTAACTAGAAAAACAACACAAAACACGGTCTCAGAAGTTGTCTGAGGGCCAAGAAAGCAAGGTGTGGATCTTTCCGGAAAGCAGGTAGCTTGGTTAGAGGGGGGCTCCTGCAAACCCAGCCGGTCTGCATGGCGAATGGGATGCCAAGACGCAGCACAAGGGGTTTTTAAAAAGTCCCAGGAGAAGCCCAACTCATCACAAGGAGATGCCGAGGAGGAGCCCAGAGCCGGTCCCCTGAAAAGACCAGGGTCCCAGGAGGCTGGAGGACCCAACAGGGCGGGGAGGGGATGATGACCATGTGGTGGTCTTGAATTCATAGGGCCCCCTTACCTTGAGTGGGAAGTGACCCGGTGGCAGGGCACGGCAGGAGCTGTGGAGAGGGGAGGGCCCGGGGAGGGGAGGGGAATGAAGCCTCCTCAGCCAGGGCACACCAGTCCTGGGGGGGAGGGCAGGGAAGGGCCACAACCCGCCAAAACCTACCACCCTCCCCAGGAGCGGAGTCTGACTGCCAATACCCCCCCCCCCCGCAGTCCGAGTGGCTTCCCTTGCATCCAACCCCCAGCGAGGGGGTGAAGACCGGCAGCCTGCTCCAGGGAGACCTCCCCAGCTAGCGACTGACCCGATGGACTGCGGGCCTTCCTTATATTCCTTTCATGAGGAGTCCTGCAAACCCAGCGCCCTGTGGCTTCCTTTACGATGCTCACCCATCTCACGGAGGTCTTCCTCTTCTCCCAGGGCCTTCCTCTTTTGGGGGTGTTACCTATTGCCGCTTCCCGGGGGGGGGCAGAGGCTTTGCTGAGTCGTTTTCATTGGAGAGAGGGGGGGGT